TACGTCAAGAATCGCACACACCATTTCACTCGCAAGTAAACCATACCCTATGTACTTCGTACACCGTTCCTGGTACAGGAAATTCAAATTTCATAAATGTTAACTTGAATGATTTGCTTTTTTGTATAGTGCTGGATAGAATGTGCGTACGTACGTATGTACATATAATTTGATTTGTCAGCTATTAGAAAGAATATCGATATGTATACGTGAAAATAATCACGTGTTCACAGTAAGACAGTGATAGTCTTTCGATGAATTATTCTTCTATATTGTTTATATAATTGCCCTGTTCTATTATTATATGCTTATGCTTTGCATTCTAATTGACCAAAAGTTAATGGAAATTTTATTGGTCGGTCGCGGCAGTTGTGACATCTGGTATATTAATGTTTAAGGTTTTTATGTATTTCATTCTTGGGTCATCACAAAATTTTCCACCTACGCATGCAGTAGAATAAACTCTGATTTCTTATTTGGTCTAACTGGATAGATTACTTTAGAGAATGGTTCGTTAATATCAACTTTTGAACCGCACTTTGCAAAGCACTAAAAAGTATAAATCAATCCATCTGTAGTTCTTTTCTTCTTATCTCTTCCGGAAATACACTCTCTTGCCACTTCTATTCCAAAAGTCCATTTAAGAACATGTGTTTTAACTGTGTTGGCATTTAATTCATAATATGAGGCTCCTCGGATCACTGCTGCAATGGGTAATGTCAGAATGCAAATGTTGTCTACTTGAAACCTAAAATTTTCTTTAAATTTATCTAACAAATATGCTGATTTCGCAAACCTTCCAACCAAAAATATAGCCGAGCATTTCTCTTTAGAAGCCTTTAATTGATCTAAAATTAATTCAAGAATTTTATTGACAACGGGATCAAACATTTCTTTGACAGAAGCAAATCTAATTTGATGATCCATCCTGCATTTTCCATTTCAATTTTTCAATCTCCAGTAACGTAATCTTGCAAGTTAGAGCAATAATTCAAAAAACTTCAATTTAATAGTCTTCCATTCTGGTTGCTTTTTTTTTTTTTTTTTTTTTTTTTTTTTTTTTTTTTCTTTTCTTTTTGGTGTTTCTTTTTTTTTTTTCTTTTTTTTTGGGGGGGTTTTCTTTTTTTTTCC